TCTGAGCTGACGGCCAGAATGATGAGCAGGTTTCCCAACACAGTGATCAGGTACATGGAGAGGAAGAGCCCAAATATGAGGGGCTGCAGCTCTGGGTCCTCTGAAAATCCCATGAGAATAAATTCTGAAATTTGTGTATCATTCCCTGGTTGCATATGTGGAGGTGACTACTAGGAAAGAGGGAAACAAGACTAATTCACAAAAACTTGTATTACATATTTGAAATGCTAACATTTATATTTGTAGAGAAAGAATTAATTTTAATATATTGTGTATGAATCTGGTCCCCTTTTGGGAAAGCCCCTGTGTCACCTGTGATATGAAGCTTTGTATCAATCATTTTCGTATCAATCATCATTTTTCCTTAAGGTATTATGTATTCTACATAATACATAATACATAGACATTTTTCATGCATTTCAGGAATATAAATTGAATGCTGACCATGTTTTTGGCACTGTCCAGGCTGTAAGTATAGGGTGCTGAAGAACAAAAGTTTCTACAATTCAGTGATAAAGATGATCCCTGGATCTTTGTCAGGGTGGGTGTGGAAGGCAACCAATTGGTGTGTCTCTCTCACATGGATGTTTCTCTCTCCCTCCTCTATCTCAAAATCAGTGGAAAAAATATCCTCATGTGAGGATTAACTATATATATAACATTTCAGATGGTGACAGGTGTTATGAAGAAAAGGAAAGCAGGTATAAAGAAATGAATAGGGTGTTTTATTTTTCATGGGTGTTTAGGCAAGACCTACACACAAGATGTCATTTGTAAAGAGACCTCAAGTAAGAGAGGGAGATGCAAGTTTCTGTGGGAAAGTGTGTGCTGGGTAGAGGAATGGCCAGGGTAAAGGTCCTGAGGAAGATGTTTGTTTTCATGTTCAGCCAAAAAAGGAAACCAGTGTTGGAGGTGAATGAGCATGAGGAAGAGGATGAGAGACGGTGTCAGACAAGTTGGGGCCTCTCTGCTACTGTTGAAACCTCAGGCACAGGGCCTTCTTCATTCACACTGCCTCTTGCACTTTGTTGCAAACGTGCCCCATGGATGCAAACAGATCCCCTTCTCAGTACCTTCTCTTGATCGAGTTTTGGCTCATGTATTGTTAGAGTTACCTCGGAACATATGATCCCTAGTCCTCCTGTTTTGAGGACTGAAAATACACACACACACACACACACACACACACACACACACTATAACATGGTTATATTATTTTAATGCCTTTCTCAGACTGATTTGACAAGGTGTGGCTATAACCCAAGTTGGCCAGATCGTTCACGTGTATACTGTAGAAATGGGTTCTAGCAATTCCAATTCGTATCCCTCCCACAGACAAATAAACTTGGGCTCCATATTGGGATGGCCATTTTTCTGCTGTGTATTTAAACAAACATTTTAAAAATCTGTTTATATTCTAACTATTGTAAATAATGCTGCAATGAACACAGGGTGGCCATATCTTTTTGAATTAGTGATTTTGTTTTTTTCAGATAAATACCAGAAGTAGCATTGCTGGGAGTCCATCAATAAATGAATGGATAATGAATATGGTACACACACACACACACACACACACACACACACACACACTTTGGGGCAAACTGTATATTTACAATTGTTCACATGGAAAATAATACAATAATTAAAAAGTAATAAAATAAGAATAAACTCTGTGTTCTGTGTACTCACAACTATAAACCTACTTTGCTCTACCCGGTATATACACTGTAGAATATTACTCAGCAATAAAAAGAATGAAGCCTTGCTATTTGCAACAGCATGAGACACGTCTAGGGAGCATTATGCTAAGTGAAATAAGTCAGACAGATAGACAAATACCATATAATTTCATTTACATGTAGAATCTTAAACAAAACAGAACAAACAAACACCAAAATAGAACAAAAACAAACTCATAGAGACACAGAACAAATAGATGGGGGGTGAGGGAATGGGTGAAAAAGGGGGTGAAGGAATGGGTGAAAAAGGTGAAGGGGAATACTAGGCACAAACTTGCAGTTATAAAGTAAATAAATGCAGTTATAAAATAAATAAATCATGTATATGTAGTGTATAGCACAAGGAATATAATCAATAATATCTTAATAACTTTGCACAGTGACAGATGGGTACTAGACTTATTGTGGTGACCACATTGTAAGTATATAAATGTTGAATCACTATGTTGTACACCTGAAGTTAATATAATATTGTATGCTAAGCACACTTTAATAAAAAATAAACCATAAAATAATAGTTGTAGTTGTATAAAAATCCTGTTGAATAAACAGAGCGAGAGAAAAAGGAATGAAATTGAAGCATAGTAACTTCCATCTTGTATAGAAAACTGCTGTTTGAAACTCTCTGCTATTGTTAGGTAGTCCCTAGTCCTGTAAACTCTGTCACTTTAAGACAGTCTGTTATTCTATAAAATGACATTGTTTTTAGTTCAAATAATAGAAAAAGATAAACTTAACTGTCTGAGCTTGCAAGCCAGCCATTCAATGTAGTAGACTAATATTGATAATAATTACGCCAAGTACCAACTCATTATGTATTCAAGGTTACAACTGTCTGTAACAATAACTCACACAGAGCCCTTTGTAATATCTGCAAGCAAAGAGGCTCGAAAAGTATAAATACGGAAAAACTTCCTGTATGGGTTGCTCGGAGATTTGAAAAGAGACACCTCCTTCTGGGCTGCGCGCAGTAAATGACTCCTAAAGTAATTGGCTCATTAGGCCTCTTGTCCAGCTCACTGATTTGCGATACAACATTTGGAGGCGCCAGTGAGATCAGAGTCAGGTGCCTGCCTGCACCTAGTCTCGGACGCCTGGGACACACGGCCTCCCCTGCCTCGCTGCCAGGCCCTGAGGATCTCTAGGGGAGGTGCCACCTGATGAAGTTCCAGGCCCTGGAGACACTTCTCAGTGGTCTTGACGGCCAGAGAGGGCACCTGACATGCCCTTACATTCTTTTGGAGTCATCAGAAAAACCCTCCAGAGATGAGTGATTTCAAATTCAATTAAGGAATTTTGAGTTCACTTTTGCTGTTTGGGACTAGCCACTTTGATACCGAGAAGGGGGACTGGACGCGGTCTTAACTCCTCCGGTAAGTTCTCACCGAGACGTTGGTCGAGAATTTTGGGGTGTGGGTGCCGGGAGTGCCCCCACGTCCATTTGGGAAGTTGGGCATTGTTTCAGTTATCTGCTCAGCTTCCATTTGGGCTAGTCTACTGAGAGAGTGTGAGTACCGATGTTTTTTTCTGTCTTGGCGTAATTATCTGCTCATTAACTGGTCTGTGTGAAAGCAAAAGCTACTTTGATTTATTCTGCACGTCTGCTCATTCGTCTGGCTAAAACGTTTGATTTATTAAAGGCTGAACCCGTGATAATCTGCAAAAGTCTCTAGCAGCGCTGCAGAGATCTATTTTTCTCAGGAGACCTTCCAGGATTTTGATCTGTAAGAAATCTCCCCACTCACCCTTATTCTCATCCGCTATCTTTCCAGGCCGACTAAGAGTCATTTTTCTCCACAGGTCAGACCCCAGCCTTGGGGGGGTGGGGGGACGGG